ACTTCCAACCGGTAAATAATAAATTGTTGGAACAGTGATGAGTTGTACATGTGTAACACATGATAAAGCTCCATGACCGAACAAGGGTCATACATGATAAATGTTGGTGATTTTGTATCATCAATGTGTATTTAAGTGTAATGGATTGACTTGATGACCAAAACTCAATCTTGATGAATATTAAACAAGTAAGGAAGGTGCGGAGTGCACATTTGTTTAAGTTTATTCAAGATTCAAAGTAGACTGTCATTTAGGGGCGAAGCCCCTAAACGAACGGAGGTTCGGGGGCAGCGCCCCTGGGAGCGGGGTCCAAGGGGCGGCAACCCCTGGCGGGGTCCAAGCGGCAGAGCCCCTGGCTGGGGTCGAATTTTGAACCCGGATTTTGACTTCATTTTGACCTTTATTAATGATCCCGTTTTAGTGATTGTTATTGGTTTTCACAGTTGGAGTAGTTTTTTGGATAAAGAAAATTGTATTGACAGTTTTCAGACAAATGAACTACTTAATCATTTTGGTCATCATTTTTCCCGATACAACAAAAATCACTAAATTCATAACAACCATATTTTTTGTTCTTGCTCTCACTTCTGAGTCTTATCCGATTACAGATTGGGAGTACCACCCAAATACTTTAATCTGAAAGTGAAACCACAATTCCAGAATTTCCAAGCCTTTCTATACCCCAATTTCTTACATTTGGACAAAAAAAGCTGCCTTGACAGTTTTCAGACAAATGAACTACTTAATCATTTTGGTCATCATTTTTCCTGGTACAACAAAAATCACGAAATTCATAACAACCATATTTTTTGTTGGTGCTCTTAATTTTGAGTCTTATCCGATTAAGATTAGGAGTACCACCCAAATACTTTAATTTGAAAGTGAAACCACAATTCTCAGAATTTCCAAGCCTTTCTATACCCCAATTTCTTACAATAAAGCTTTGTGACGAACAAAGGTCACATAAAACAACTGGCTTTGTGTCAACCAGGGAGTGTGGTATCCCACACTAAAACAGTTGTAGGCTAGAGGTTACTTCCAAAAATATTTGATAGTATTTAAATTAGAAAAGTTATTTCTAGTGTTAATAGTGTTTGGTAAGAAGAGTTATTTGCAACAGAGATTCGTATTCTTATCATAAAGGCTCAATGGAGAAGGGTTACTTCCTAGTATATTTAGAACAAAATGTGACATTTAGAGTCATGTGATATTCTATAGAAGAGTATGTTTTATTCACGATAGTCATAAATTGTAAAAAATTATGCCAGATAGATGGAATATGGAATTAGATAATTCCAATGAAAGACATGATTAGAGAAAAGATCACGAATACAAGAAAAATACGAACTTTTGTGAAACACCCAGTTTTCAGGTATGAGTTTGTGCTTCAATCCTTTGAAGTTTTGATGTTCATGACATGGTGAAGGAAAAACCACGACGTGACAACGACTTTTGAGTGGTAACCCTTTTTAAGTGACCACGACGTGGTCATGTATTGGCGGTTTCACTTTTGGTCAAACTTGGATATAATTGAGTATTTGACTAAGGACTGGTCTCGGTTTGGCTTTACGAAGCTTGGGTTACGTGTTCTATTGCTAAGGGTGTTGTTGAGCTTTTGTTGAGTAGTCAAGTGAGTCTTCTTACTATACTATGTAGAATACTATATTGTCTTTGTAACTCTTGCATGTATGTTATGTGTTTGGGCGGGGTCAGCTTGGGCGGGGCCCGTTATGCAGTTTGGGTGACACCCATTATATTATTGGGTAACACCCGTTACGTGCGTTGGGTGAGGCCTATATTGGTATGTGGTATCTTGGAGAACTCACTAAATTTTGTGCTTACGGTTTTATGTTTAAATGTTGCATGTTTTCTTATATTAAAGGAAGGGTGCGGCTTGATTGCATCGCATCCATTGGAGATTTCCACACTTTATAACTTGTATATCTATACTTTGATAAAAGTTTTGAATCAAACGGTTTTATTTAGATCTTTGATGTAATTGGAGCAAATGCTTTTATTTTTAAACGAAATTTTTTTATTGAAATTTGAAACGTTACATTCTGATTTAGTATATCAAGAAGAATGATCATGAAAGTTGGCAATCTTGTTTAAATTCATAAGAAAATATTAAATCATTTTAAGTACAATCGGAGGAAACTATTGGTTAACATATGAATGATATTTGATTGATGTTGACATCGCAAGCAAAGAAAATAATGATTGGTAGGATATAGTAAAGTTTTACTATATGGCCCTTAGTTGGGAATATTATGTGGTTTTATATTCCATTGTGTGTAGGTAAATATGATGGTATATGTGAATTATATATGGGGATATTGGCTAAATATAATACCAAGAGAGATATTAATAGATTGATAGTGGTTATAATTGTTTACAGTTCTCTCTTAGCATTTTATTTGGTAATTCTTAGAGTAGGAATAAGGTAGTGAAGTATAAGAGATGTTGTTACTCATTTGGTTATGATTATTGTATTGTGGATGCCAACAATTCATGGATAGTGTGATATAGTTAATGAAATGTCTTCCAAATGATGTTTATGTTGAAGAATCTTTTTAGAATCTTAGTGTAAATGAATAACCGTTCTGTGGAAAAAAATGGTAAAAAGAAAGTGAAGTTTATGAGTAAATTAAAGTATAGGAGGTACTGATACAACTGTTGAAACCCTTGAGCATTGTAAAATAGAGATACAATTTGTCAAGTCGACAGTTGGAGATTAATATCAACAAGGTTTGTATAACCTGTTAGTAAGGAACGGTACAAGTCATGTCAAAGCATTGAGTAAACAATAATAGTATGATCAATAGAATGGTTATATGAAACATATTATGAATGGTTCAATAAAAGAACATTGTGTCTAATGTGGATGTGAGAGAACAAAGTATATTGTTATAAAGTGTAAACCGATTACAAATCGGAAATTGATTATAGGAGTTTCCTAAAGATTCTGAGGATGGAATCTTCTTAAAGAGGAGAGATTGTAATGAACCATAAATTTGAGAATAAATTTACTCTATGCAGGAGTAATATTAAGAAAGTTGTAATTCACTCTGAGACGATTCCACAAATATAAATTTTCTAAAAAACGCAAATCATATAAGAAAGTTATGATCGTTTGAAAAGTACATTGCTATTTGGGAAAAGTCAAGTCAAACTTATGATCGTGACATGCAGCAGTAAGAACATGGCGTGACGACTAAGGAGAGTCAGGGGACACATGGCAGAAGGACATGACACATGGCAAGGGACATGTCGAAAAGCACGATGCACTTTTTGATAAGGCGTGGTGTGCCTTATGATACATGGCATACTCTGTCACATATGCCGACACAAAGCTAATACGGAGCTCGACACGTGGACTGCAATACGACCTTAGATATACCATGGTGCATAATCAGATTCTCAACCTAGTATAAATAGCTCAAGAGCTTCTATGATGGGTTCTTTTGGGGAATTGAATCCATAGTCGGTGAATAATTGTTACGGCTTATAGGAAGTGATTTTGAGGCCAGTTTGTGAGGGTACGATCGTTGAACGCGATAAGGTATCCTCTTGACCTGTTAGTATGTAATTTTATTTACGCAGCGTTAATTGTGTAGGGTTGTTAGAATCCGGTGTAATTACTAGAGTCATGATATGGTGATATTATGAGCTTAATGGTAATGTTGACAGATAAATCATCTTATAGGATTCTAGACTTGGATGACCAGGGTTGCGAGCACTAGTCTTTAGATATATGAGATTGAGCTAGTGGCTTATGGGATTAGTTCGTTTAGTAGATGTGATATGGAGTTTAATTAGCCTGATGACGTATGGTTACTAAGGTTAACTCTTAGTGTACTGGGACAAGTCCTGAGGAACTTGATATATTTTCTAATCAGGTTTGGGCAAGTTGTTGAGTTACTAGACGGCACAGACTAGAGGCTAAAGAAAAAGTTAGTTTTCACTAACTGTCCAAATGAGTGCATGTGGATATTTATGACTTCATAGAAAATGAATTTTCTATGTGTAAATGTTTGATATTAAGTTTGTAACATTCCGATGAAGAGGTATTTTCAATTTTAACTCTAAGAATGAAGATTAATTACATTTTAGCCCTTATGTATGAAAAATGTTGCAAAATGGCCCATAGTGGCATTTTTATAATTTTGGGGCCGAGCTAACGTACGTTGGGCGTACGTGCCTGATCCACAAACCCTAAATGTTAGCGTTTGGACCCTATATAAACATCATTAACTCTCCAATGCTCATTCCCTCACCAACCTCCAACCCTCATTTCCTCCATTGCAACCCTAATCT